AGCTTGTCCTCGGAGAAAGTGTGCTTATATTGTTCCGCCTGACTGACGACTGGACATTGGATTGTCACGATCTTAGCTCTCTTAAGGGTTTCTTATATCAAGTATGAGCATACAAGAAGGATAGATAATTGAAAGAAAATGCACAAGTCTATAAAAAAAAAATAAAATATTCTTTGAAAAAGCGAAAAAATAAAACTTTAAAATTGTGGTACCAGGTGGATCCCCATGTTACTTAAAAAAAAGTAACGATAGGGTTTAAGTTAACGCATATATCAACTGAGCTAGTCTGACTTAAACATTGTATGGCATAATTTTTAAGCAGATTATCAAAATCAGGTCTCCTTATTTTTTGTAGGTTTTTTTTGAATTTCTTAAATTATTCTTTACATCCGAACCTATCAAAATATCACAGTTTTATTTAGGGGCAGGCCTGCCCTGAAGGACTTCTAGGCCAAAATACATGCAATTTGGTCATATTTTGTTTAAAAATAAATGCAATACATTTTTAAGGAAATTTCAGTTTTAATTCACTGTATTTATCCAAGCACAAAAATCAGAAAAAATAAGCATTTGAAAAGTTTAATGCACGGACAAAATGGTGTTTTGACCAACTTTGGAGTTTTATTGTAAAGTAGTAAATAATAAATATTAGGTATAAATTACAAATTTAAAAAAAAAATAGACACACACATATATATATATATATATATATATATATATATATATATATATATATATATATATATATATATATATATATATATATATATATATTATATAGTAGAAAACAACAAATAAATATAAATTTTTAAATGTCACTTTTTTCCGGGAAATTGTCTTCTCGTAAAGCGTCAATTCTTTTGTCAAAGTGAATACATCCTGTTATAAAATATTAATGCCTTAAGCCTAACATAACAGTAATGTTTCTCATTCATTCAGAAACAAATTTATCCAAAATTATTAATGTAAGCTTTACGAAATGCATTGATTTCTAACAATTACATGCATTCTGCAAGTGATAAGAGTATCACTCGGTTATAACGTAGTTACTGCTACGCTTGCTTTATCCGTAATTCGTTTCATCCGTGTTCATACTAACCGAGTTTTACTGTATAAAGAAAGTTTATACGCACTTGTAACTATCATAAAATAATACTTAACCATTATTTATCAAAAGTCTTAAAATAATATTGTTAAATGATCACTTGCATTTTCCAAACACCCAACACGTCTGCTGTAGCATTGAAAATGACGTATAATTTTATCCGATAAAAGACAAAAAGGGAAAGGAAGGGGGGTGAACAGAGTAGAACTTTACATATAATTACTAAAATATTCTTTTGAATAAATGTACATTTAAATTTATCTTGACATATATATTATTGAAATTGCAATTTTACTTGAGTATAACAAGGGTAAATGAGTGAAAACTTTCATATGATTCTCATATGATCAGTTTCAAATGATTCTCATGTGACCACCGTCAAAATATTCATATGATTTTCATATGCAGGGCCTTTCATATGAGAATCATAAATTACTGCATATGACTTACATATGTGTATTCATATGATTCTCATATGATTTGCCACATATGATTCTCATATGATTGTATTTACATATGATTCATATATGATCCACATATGACCCTTATATAAAAGACAATGCATATGTGGATCATATGTGGCTATATTGCCTATGTAGTCATCAGTGCCTAATTTTCTCGCGTAGCAAGTATCGTTGTAGATAAGGCCCTTTTTGGATAAAAAGATCTCGAAAGAGAGATTAACAACATGAAATATATCTTATGAATTTAAGGGGGATGTACGGCCACCTTTAGTGCAGTGAGAACAAAATGTAAACATTTCTTCAAATGCTAAAGTACATTATATTTTGATCAAATTTTAAACCTTTATGATAAAGATACAATAAATATGCATAAATGAATGCATGTTGTGCATATATAATCTGTACTTTTGCAGAAAAATGCTTTTGATATGCTCCTTAGAACTGCGCAGCTACAGAATTCAGCAGAGCCTTAAAAAATCCAAAAAAAATACGCAAACTGTTCATTAATGTTCTCTCTACAACCATTTGTTGAGAAAATGTCTAAATTTTGCACTTTTAAATGATAATTTTAAGTTCAAAACAAGGTATCGTTGTCTTCAAAAAGAGTGTAAAGAACACTGAAAGTAGTTCATTGATAGCAGCACGTGGTCTATTTTTAGCACATAATTTTGTTTTCCAGACCTCGTCTTAATATGGAGGGACATAACAATCTTTAAATGTAGAAGAGAATTACAGTTCCAAATATTTCAAATAATATGAACACTTTTAAAAGAGGAATTGTGTTATAGTGTGGCTTGAAGTAATTTATTTAGTATTATTATCGAACAGTTGTTAAATAGTGTACGTATTGAATAAACTCTTTGATTCCGGGTAAGGAAAAATGAGCACCATCAAAGTTTAAAATTAAGAGTTTGTAAGTTTGCCACAGATAACTTATAATATATCTATCAAAAGTTTTATTATCACCGATGAAACACAAAGAAATTAACCACATAAAATCGATATGAAAAACCTTGTGTTAGTATCAACTAATACGAGGGGTGATCAAAAAAATCTCGAACTATCTCTATATCTATACAAAACCACAATTTAGATTAGAAACAAATTTGGTACACACTCAAGTTCCATAAATAGCATATGCTGAATAAAGTATTGCTCACAATGTGAAAATGAAGTCATCATGCATGTACTTGTGACGAAAAATGGTTGTCTCAGTGGAACTCATTCAACAAACGACTAAAATATTTATGGTATATCTTAAAAATGCCTTTGAAGTAACGTACTTTTGTATAAGAATTTGTTCATAGTTTATTAAGACAAATGACTTCCTATAAAATCTATCAATGATTGAATCGATCGTTTTAGTGAAGGAAGGCAGATGGTTGAATATGATACTTGTTATGTTGCCCGGTGAAAGCAAGTTTGAAAAGGGGTCTGTTTTTAATTAAGCAATATGCTATCAAACATCTCCAATTTAGACTTTCAGATTTTAGAAAAATACTTTATTATTTCAACAATAATATAACTATCAAATACCTAAGATATCGTTTACTTTTGATCCCCCCCCCCCCCCCCGTATACTCTGTCAAATAAACATTTACAATTTTCATTACAGTGGAGCAACATTTGAAAAGGAATAAAATCATTCAGAGTGGGTTAGGAGATTTAATGAATAAAATTATTTTTTCTATTTGCCCATTTTGTCAAAATTACAATTTTACAGAGTAAAGAAAAAAATCAACATATAATTAAATATTTTATACCATCTTTAAAATGACGTTAGGTGGACCTCCCAACTCAGGGAAAATTATTGGGTCCGTATTTATAGAAATTTAAACATATTTGTTGACGGAAAAAAAAAAATCCTGTAATTGGATGTAAAATAAAATTGAGTCGGGCCATTTCTAGGCAGTAGATCGGGAGAGAGGACAACCAAATATTTTTATAACAAATGGTCTTATAAGGCTAGTACATGTTCCATCACATACTTAGTAATGCAATATTGTTTTAATCTTTGGCACTATTTTGAAAAAAGAACATAAGATTTTCGGAAGGGGGGTATTCTCTCATTTTTTTTTGCGATGATAGACATAGCATATGCAATGTACCTTTGTTTGCAAACATTGTGATTGCTTCTAAATTTCAAAGAAACAACTTAATATATTTTATCAAGCTTCGTATGTTCAATAAGCGAGAGCTTATAACGTAGTCAACATAATGAGACATGATGCGCTTTTATGTCCAAACATTACTCCATACAATGTGTTGGTCATTGCAAACAATCAAGTTCAGCTCATCAAGTTATTTACGTGGGGTGCCTGAAGGAAATCCTTTAACAGCCTATTTTTTCTATCTAACTGCTAAACAAAATAGACATATGTACCAACTTTTCGAATGTAAGACATGCAATTGCAATTTGTTTTTCATGCACCGGATATTGTTTAACATTTTCAAATTAAATGCTAAGCATCCTCCTTGCAGTGCCCCATTTCAAAATAACTTCTATCGCCACAGAAAAAAGACCCGACGTAAACACATATGTTTAGGGCATTTTTTAGCTTTTTTCTTGAGTTTTAAAGAAACCAACAAATTATCAAGACTTGTTCCGCGAAAAATTAAATATAATCATGGTAATCAACGCATCTATCCACAGCAGATATATGCACATGCCAACCACGTGCTCAGTGTAATAATATTACCTAGGAAACTCGAGCTGCGAACAGAACAGTTTTTCCCGATTTGCTCTAGTGGGGTTAAAATAGCGTTTTTTCATTAATCAGACGAAGCGATGCAACAAATAAAAGTAGTAAGTAATATACCTAATGATTATAACTTATTAATTTCTTGTCTTGATGTTATTATGGTCGCATTTATTCTAAAATCAATGTAATTCGAACTCTGTGTGACAGAGGAATGGCGGGCGAAATAAACATATGGCCTCAGGAAGACACACATATGAAAAATCAAATTTTCAAGAATTTTAGATAATGACAAGAAAAAAGCGAAACAAATGGTTGTAGCCATATTATAAATGAATCAAACTAACGCCATTTTCAATGCATTTTTCATCTCGTGAATGCTGTAGCTGCGCAGTTCTACCATGATTAATTTCCTCCTAATTAAAACAAAATAAACTTAATTATTTACTAATTTTGGTCTCTAACAGTAGGTAACTAGTGCATTAACACTTTGAGTAACTTTGGGCTCGTTTAGACGAGTATTAAGCGCATTCTTGGCATTTCTTATTTCATACCAGACTAGATCCAATTGGCTTGTACATCCCCCTTAAGAGGGGTTCTTGTTTGTTTAGTTGCAAAGAAAGTCTTCATATCAAAATTTTATGGTAGGAAAATCCAAATACATGGATCCTGCTAATTTAGAATGAGTAGGGTATCGATTTCAGTATTTAATTTTCTTTGTCTTTTTTTCAGGCAAAATCATGGAACTGGTGAATTTAGTAACTGGGCTATATGAAATCAAATTTGAATTTTTAAAGGAAGTAGATGTAGGAAGAATTGTCAAATTCAAACCTGATATAGCGTTTGCATCTCCAGAATATGATGTGTTAGTCTTAGAGCTTGAAGACCACAAGTTTGAGTTGAAATGTCTTGGTCTAGTGGAAGATAATGCTTGTAACGAAAAGCTCCATGTGTTTGGTCACCCAAGTGGAAAACCGCTTCAACATGACCCTGCATGTACAATCCTTAAGGAGGATACAGATCTTTCTGAATTAAAAAAAGAAGGAATTGCTTTCTTTAAAAAAGAATGTAAAAGTTTGGAAGAAAAGGATATAGAGGAATCTTATTCCCCGTGTGTTATCTCTAAAGACAAAATTTTATTTCATAGCTCCTGTAGCACAGCTCATGGTGCGTCCGGTGCCCCACTCATTATCGTATGTAATGGAAGCCCAAAAGTGTACGGGATGCTTCTATGTGGACACCCCGGTGTATTTTATAATTATTTTAATGGACGCTTGAAACGTCTTGATCTGCTGGTCGAGTCTGGAATCTCCATGAAAAAAGTCAGGTCTTTACTTAAATCCTTTACACCAAAACTGGAACAGGATTTGTTCCGCGATGTGTGATATTTGATTTTTTTTCTCTTGTTTCTTGATATGTCAGGACGAAGAGGTTGTTGGGATTTTTGATATTTTTTTTTTACATTCATTTAAACCTCCGATGTTGAAGAGTTCCACAATAGTCTGCTTTGAATAATTAGTGCTTTAGTTTATACCTATAGGAAATAGTAGTAAAACGAAATGCTATTATATAGATGTACTCCTCGGGTATCAAATTTTAAAAACATTGTATCGACCTCAAAATTAATTGCAATAATATGAATATGAGAACACTACATGTAATTAAGTACAATAATCATCTTGACCTTTGGTCTCGGTGAATCGAATCAAGTAAACATACTATTTGTATCTAACTATTTTGGGACAGGAAAACCATTCGTTTACATAAAGTTTAAGGTATGTTAGAATGCAAAATGTAAAAACAACGCTTTCTGATATAAATTGCAGCTGCTAGTATATTTTTTCCTTGGATATGTCAAATCAAAGAAGATGTTGGTTTTGGGGATTCTTTTCAGTGTAAAAATTTTACATGTAGCTTTAAATAATATAGTTTTGTTCCACTAGGGTTTTTGTGACTGTATTATTTAAAAGCACCATTATTATAAATTTTCCTCCATATTTTTTTCTCTGAGTTTAGATGTACGTTTTAAAAACTGTCAGTGAATTGTAGTACATGTATTTTGTTCGTACATTGATATGTTTAGCAAAGATACAAGAATACATGTTGTTTGAATAAAAAAAGCTGATAGATGATCAGTAGATATTTAAATTTTCAAAATTATTCTTTTTTATTATTTCCCATCTCTCTGATAGGCTGGGATACAACAATGTACGAAAAATACTATGTTCTGTTCACCAGCATGTGACCCCCCACGTAAACATAGGGATTTTTTTTTCTCTATGCTGGAAGACAAATAGATTGGAAAATCCAAATAAATGCAAAGCGTTTTGAAAGGGTTTTTTTTTTTTTTACTTGCAACCGCCTTCAATAATACTTAGACTCTTAAGACCTTGAGTAACGTTGATTGTGCGTGTGAATGGGCATGTGATCACTTACAGTCTATGGATGCAAGTTAATACAGTGAACCTGTTTAATTCGACATACACTGGGAGACAAAATTTATGTCGGAATGGACAAGGTGTCGGATTTAACAGTGTTAAAACATGGACAATCAGAAAACTGGGAAAGAAATTTTACGTTGGAATTCATTGTGTGTCGGATTATTCAGGTGTCGGCTCAGACAGATTTCACTGTATATTTCTTTCTTTTATTATGATATTTAGGAAGGGTAAATTGAAATACATGTGTATAACCTTCTGTCGTAGTAATTGCTGACCGTAAAAAGATCCGCCACAATGGTTAAAGTGGCAAGAATAGGACAGAATTTGCAGTCCTTCACAAGAAAGTGGTGATATCTACATTTGAATGAATTTCTGGGGCGTGTAACAAAAAAAAAAAAAAAAAAAAAAACTCACATTGAGTTGATTAAAAATCGAATGACATAAAATATCTTATTAGTAATTGATTTAAATTGTCATATATTGATTTTTTTCTTTTTACTTTTTTTAAATACAAATAATATTTCCCTTTTCTACAATTTATGCTAAACCATTCCTGTTGCACAGTGGCAAACTTTCTCTCCCTAAAAAATTGAATAGGTATTTCTTTACCTTTAGTATTAATTCTTTGACCTTGTTCAATAATAAAAGAAATCCATGTCAAAAATATCATGTAAACATGTTTAAATGTTTCAGCATATATCATTTCATTTTATTTACGGAAGATGTATACTATAGACAAGAATTTTTATCTTTACGTGAATTTTTCTGTGACTATTTTCTAACAAAGTAGAATTATCTATATATAAATTATTTTACAAAGACATCTCGTCATTATGTTGTACGTGGTTTGTATAATTAGATGGTTTGAACACTTGTATTTTTCTTCAATTAATATACTGTGAAATTACAGATTTTCTTGGGGATTTAATTTTCGTTGTTTTGGGGGGTATGAAGAGACCAACGAATTCATATCCAGCACGAAATGTAAAACGTTACATACATAAATACTTAACAATTCTTAATCAACGAATTCAAATCCCCACAAATAAAGATTTTTACTCAAACAACGAAAAATTGACTCCACGAAAATATGTGATTTTAACATAATATATTTAGCCTTTGTATCCAGCTTAGACGTGCTTAACAAAGAACATTTTTTTTCTGAACTTTATTTATTTTAAAGAGGAAATTTATACTCCAAAGGTCATAAAAAGTTAATTACTTCATTTGTAACTGAGACATGTTTAATTGATCCTGGCAATGACCTTTAGGTGAACTAAAATTATCATCTCTGATCTTATTGTATTAATTTACTATCTATTTAAATGTTATAATTGAAAGGTAAACCATCTTTGCAAAAAAAAAAAATTATTTAAAAAAATGAACATATGATTTCTATCATTTGTATTGCGTAGTGATATTTTCCACAGTTTTATAATTTGTGAAACATTTAGTCTTATATGATTTAGATTGATATCATTGTACCTATATAGTAAAAAGTTGCTTGTTTGTTATTAGTTTATGTATTTTGTAGAAAAATAAAGAGCATATATAAAAACTATTTCGTTCATCTGTTTCTGGCACTTGATTCTATCCCTGATTTTGTATTGTTTATTAAAGTATGTTTCACATCTGGCCCAGTGGTTCTTTGGAAGATGATTTTCAAATATCTTTCTTATATATTTCAATGTAAAACTTGAATTCTCTATTGTGACCCGCCTCACAACCTGAGTCATGATTTGAACAATTTAGAATCTACACTACCCCAGGATCTGCCAAGGGTTGTCACCCGAGGGCGCTTATGCTTTCACTTAAGTTTTGGCTTTTCTGGACAGTGGTTTGTGAGAAGATTTTTTAAAACATTTTTCTATTTTGAAATAATTCAATATGAAACTTTGATTCCATTTTGTGGCCCGTCCTACCCCAGTAGTCGTAATATGAACACTATAGAATCTACACTACCCCAGAATGCTTCCACATTTTTTCAGCCACTCTCGCCCAGTGGTTATTGAGAAAAAAAACTTTTCCTATAGATTTCAATGTAAACCTTCTCTGTTGTGATCCCGCCCACACCACCCTACCCCCGGGGGTCATGTTTGAACAATTTAGAATCTACACTGTTCGACGATGTTTCCACATAATTTTCAATTTTTCTGGCTCAGTGGTTCTGTAAAAGATTGTTAATGACCACACCTTATTTTTGTCTTTTCTTGATTATCTTACCTTGGAAGTTGAGATGACCCTTCTTTTTAACAATTTAAATTTCCCTTCACACATTGATGCTATGTACCAAGTTTGGTTTAAATGAGCTCAGTGCTTTAAATGATCTCAGTGCATGATCCTTGAAAAAAAGGGTTAAAATGTTGAAAAGTTTCAAGAGGAAGGGACAGACGGACGGGTGATCAGAAAAGCTCATTTGAGCTCTCAGCTCAGGTGGACTAAAAAAAAATGTTATACAATTTTATAAAAGAATATCTAGGCCATGTTCTATTTTGGGTACGATCGAGCATTTCTTTTTACAAAAATATGCTCTTGAAAAATAAAAAAAAATAGTCGCACTTGAACTCCACATCTCTAATACCCTACATTTAACCATTTAAATTTATACTCACCAAATGATGCTATGTACCAAGATTGGTTAAAATTAGCTCAGTGGTCATTGAAAAGAAGGTAAAAAAGTTGAAAAGTTTTCTGGCGAAGGGACAGACGGACGACGAGAATGGGTGATCAGAAAAGCTCACTCGAACTTTCAGCTCAGGTGAGCTAAAAAGAAAATGTTTTTAAAAAAATATCAAAGGTACATCTAGGCCAGGTTTTAATTTTGGGTACGATGGTGCAAATTTTTACAAAGTTATATTTCTTGAAAAAATAATAAAATAATTGCACTTGAACTCCGCATTTCTAATACAAGGAATAATTCTAAGTGCTTTGGAAGTCAATACTTGTACAGAGGTTAATTTTATGAATCAAGTTTAGATAAAATAACTTTTGTCTGATTTTATTCATTCCTAACATAAGAAAAAGAAATATTTTGATGGGGGATAATGCAACCCCCTGTTAGTGTAAGATTTAATATACAGGTTAACAGATATTTTATTAATTTTCCTGGATTCATTAAATTTAGTTTGAATTCATCCATGCCCCTGTATAATTTGATATTATTACTCTCAGATTTATCCCACAGAAACTTGTTTTTTTTTCACTTCTGTAAATTCTTAATGCAATTTGTTTTCGTCTGAATCATAATTTTCTCTTATCAATAATCAAGAGTATTTTTTTCTTTGTTTTGTTCAAAATTATAATTAAAACGTGTCGGTTAAAAAACCACGTGACTTAATTCTATGGTTACAAATACGCACAACGAGACAGTTAAGCCTGTGCATTTATATATAATTTCAATCTTTGAATTATACATTTTTTAACGTTCTGGTGCTTTCATTATAATATTAACAAGATATAAAGGATTCTAGATTTGTTAGTTTTCATACATACAATAAGTAATTATATTTCAAACAAATAGCAAGAAAAACTGGTTTTGACAGAGATCTTTGTCATTGTACGATAAAAAGAGAATGTCTTTAACTCACGCGCCGTCCTTGTGGAGTGATAAGAGATACATAGCAGACTGATATCTAGGCCAGAGTTCCTCAGTCTAAACTTATACAGCTATGGAGTTAATCATTGTCTTTCTCGCTATTGGATTCGTAAGTAAGTACATATACCTATTAATCTGCCTTATTTTCTATTTAAATCGAGGGCTTTTTGTGGTAATTGTTTTGCTTCCATAGGGCACATTAGAACGCGTTCAGCATTAAAACCAATATTTCATTCTTTGTACAAAGTTATCCTTCTTGCTATTGGATTCGTCAGTAAGTACCCTTAAACAATATCAGATCTTGCGTCATTTTTCTTCTGAATCGACAGTACAAGTTCTTTTTGTGAGTACATGGTTTTACTTTTGTTTCACCAAATAGAAACGGTTTTCAGCAGTAATACCGTGTATAA